GAATTATACATACAGGTGAAAATATCTAAGAACTTCCCATCTAATCCAACCTTATGAAGAGAATCTATACGTATATCATGTTTAAGAGTATCGAAAGCTTTTGAAAAATCGATAAAAGACAATAAAATCTGCCCTGTTTTTTACATGAATATTTTTGTATGACAGCCTGAAGTGTAAAAATGTGGTCTCTTGTAGAATAGTTTTCCCTGAAGCCAGCCTGATATTCACAAATGATATTATTTAAATCACACCAGATTTTTAATCTTTTATTAAGATTTGATGTAAAGAATTTACAAAGGGAATCAATGAGGGATATACCACGGTAATTATCGGGGTCGTTCTTGTCGCCAGATTTTAACAAAGGGCAAATTATGCTCTTACCCCAACTGGGAGGGAAATAGTCAGAGTCATACATTTTGTTAAAAAGAACAGTGAGAGTAGGGACAATGAAACTTCTCGACTCCTTTAGAAATTCATTAGCAATTCCGTCTGGACCAGGGGCTTTACTGTTTGGCAAAGAGAGGATTGTTGTAGATATTTCTTGTTCGGAAAATGATTGGTTGAAAAAAGAATCAGTGTTGCTTGTAGATTGTAAAGGTGAAGGTAAATGTTCTGGTGTGTTTTGAGGAGTATTAATGCATAACAGATTTGAGAAGTGATCAATCCACTGTTGGCATGAGATATTGGATGAAAGTTGTGGTGAAGATCTGCATTTTTTAAGTGTTTTCCAAAATAAGTTAGGGTTAGTGCTTGTTGCTACTAGTTTATCTTTCTGTTTATTTTGGAAATCTTATCTTTTTGGCTTAAATGTACATTTGAAGAGTGTTCGTAACTGTCTGAAGATATCTAAGTCTGCATTGTGATCTCTATGGGCTCTGAGTGCTGCATATTTGTCATGCTTTAAGTTTTCTAATTCCTGATCCCACCAAGGTGGTTGAGTTCTCATTTGTGAAAGAAATGAACCATTATTTACGATTTTTGTGTGATCAGCTACTTTCTGAAAAAGAGTTACTAAATGTGAAAGTGCTTGGTCGATATTGTTATGGATGAGGCCATTTAAATGAGTGTATTTATTTAAACAATGACCTGAAGTTTGTAATGAATGCCCTGTTTTCATCCTTGTACCACATGTATTTTGTCCATTTATCCTGTTTACCCTGTTGTGCAACTTTAGCTGTGTACAGAGTGTTCTCACTTATATCATGAGAAATACTCGTGCCTAAATATCCTCTCCAATGACATCCTCCTAGTTCCGCAACTATAACACAAGTATGTATTATCTCTGTCATGCAAGATTACTGTTGTTCATACATATGTCAGTTGTACATTACCAACATAATACATCCATCAGTTGTACTTTACCAACACAATACATCCATCAGTTGTACATTACCAACACAATACATCCATCAGTTGTACATTACCAACACAATACATCCATCAGTTGTACATTACCAACACAATACATCCATCAGTTGTACATTACCAACACAATACATCAATCAGTTGTACATTACAACACAACACAATACATCCAACATCAGTTGTACATTACCAACACAATACATCCATCAGTTGTACATTACCAACACAATACATTCATCGGTTGTACATTACCAACACAATACATCCATCAGTTGTACATTACCAACACAATACATCCATCGGTTGTACATTACCAACACAATACATCCATCAGTTGTACATTACCAACACAATACATCCATCAGTTGTACATTACCAACACAATACATTCCATCAGGTTGTACATTACCAACACAATACATCCATCAGTTGTACATTACCAACACAATACATCCATCAGTTGTACATTACCAACACAATACATCCATCAGTTGTACATTACCAACACAATACATCCATCGGTTGTACATTACCAACACAATACATCTGTCAGTTGTACATTACCAACACAATACATCCATCAGTTGTACATTACCAACACAATACATCCATCAGTTGTACATTACCAACACAATACATCCATCAGTTGTACATTACCAACACAATACATCCATCAGGTTGTACATTACCAACACAATACATCTGTCAGTTGTACATTACCAACACAATACATCCATCGGTTGTACATTACCAACACAATACATCTGTCAGTTGTACATTACCAACACAATACATCCATCAGTTGTGCATTACCAACACAATATTTCCATCAGTTGTACATTACCAGCACGATACATCTGTCAGTTGTACATTACCAACACGATACATCTGTCAGTTGTACATTACCAACACGATGCATAAGTCAATTGTACATAACCAACACAATACACCTGCAACTTGTACATTACCAACACGATACATCTTCCAGTTGTACATTACCAACACAATACATCTGTCAGTTGTACATTACCAACACAATACATCTGTCAGTTGTACATTACCAACACGATACATCTGCCAGTTGTACATTACCAACACAATACATCTGTCAGTTGTACATTACCAACACAATACACTTGCAAGTTGTACATTACCAACACAATACATCTGCCAGTTGTACATTACCAACACAATACATCTGCCAGTTGTACATTACCAACACGATGCATAAGTCAATTGTACATAACCAACACGATACACCTGCAACTTGTACATTACCAACACGATACATCTTCCTGTTGTACATTACCAACACAATACATCTGTCAGTTGTACATTACCAACACGATACACCTGCCAGTTGTACATTACCAACACAATACATCTGTCAGTTGTACATTACCAACACGATACATCTGTCAGTTGTACATTACCAACATAATACACCTGCCAGTTGTACATTACCAACACGATACACCTGCCAGTTGTACATTACCAACACAATACATCTGTCAGTTGTACATTACCAACACGATACACCTGCCAGTTGTACATTACCAACACAATACATCTGTCAGTTGTACATTACCAACACGATACATCTGTCAGTTGTACATTACCAACATAATACACCTGCCAGTTGTACATTACCAACACGATACACCTGCCAGTTGTACATTACCAACACAATACATCTGTCAGTTGTACATTACCAACACAATACACCTGCCAGTTGTACATTACCAACACGATACATCTTCCAGTTGTACATTACCAACACGATACATCTGACAGTTGTACATAACCAACACAATACACCTGCCAGTTGTACATAACCAACACAATACACCTGCCAGTTGTACATTACCAACACAATACATCTGTCAGTTGTACATTACCAACACAATACACTTGCCAGTTGTACATTACCAACACAATACATCTGTCAGTTGTACATTACCAACACAATACATCTGCCAATTGTACATTACCAACACGATACATCTTCCAGTTGTACATTACCAACACGATACATCTGTCAGTTGTACATTACCAACACAATACACCTGCCAGTTGTACATTACCAACACGATACATCTTCCAGTTGTACATTACCAACACGATACATCTGACAGTTGTACATAACCAACACAATACACCTGCCAGTTGTACATAACCAACACGATACACCTGCAACTTGTACATTACCAACACGATACATCTTCCAGTTGTACATTACCAACACAATACATCTGTCAGTTGTACATTACCAACACGATACACCTGCCAGTTGTACATTACCAACACAATACATCTGTCAGTTGTACATTACCAACACGATACATCTGTCAGTTGTACATTACCACACAATATAATAGTTGTACCTGCCAGTTGTACATTACCAACACGATACACCTGCCAGTTGTACATTACCAACACAATACATCTGTCAGTTGTACATTACCAACACAATACACTTGCCAGTTGTACATTACCAACACAATACATCTGTCAGTTGTACATTACCAACACAATACATCTGCCAATTGTACATTACCAACACGATACATCTTCCAGTTGTACATTACCAACACGATACATCTGTCAGTTGTACATTACCAACACAATACACCTGCCAGTTGTACATTACCAACACGATACATCTTCCAGTTGTACATTACCAACACAATACACCTGCCAGTTATACATAACCAACCCGATACACCTGCCAGTTGTACATTACCAACACAATACACCTGCCAGTTATACATAACCAACCCGATACACCTGCCAGTTGTACATAACCAACACAATACACCTGCCAGTTGTACATAACCAATCATTTCTTCAAATACCCGACATCATTTCGCATCAACAATATATGCATTGTGACCATTCCAATTCCAATCTACTGAAGAGCTATGTAATTTTCCTTTAAAATGCAATTTCTTGGACTACAATTTTCCCATGTATTTCAGTTGGACGTGTGTTCACGTAGTTTTGACTCACCAATCTCTACCATTTCCTCTGAGATTTCTACCTAGCAATTGCAGCATCACGTCCGCGGCCTCCCCATACTTAAACTAAGGCAATCTACCCTCCACTGCTCCACACTAAGTACCATGTGCAATATCACGTCGCGGGCTCTATTCCCATGCGCCAGTTGTTTTTTCTCGCATCCTCTCTGCCCCCATCCCACTTTCTCCCCTCGCAAATGATATGTGCAGCATCACGTACGTCCTTGTGTCTCCCCCTCCCTGTTTCCCCACACCCTCTACCCCCTGAACCCTCCATCCTGCCCTTCTGTGTCCCAGCGTGTGTCAGAATCATCGCATCGGGGAGTGGAGGTCCTCTCGGCTTGGAGCTATAGCAGCAGCTTTGGTGAACAGAAAACACCCAGAGTTTATACGACGTGGCCACAAGCCTTCAGTCAGGATGTGTAATTAACAGAGAGTAAATTAGAATCTTCACCAGTAAGCCCCTATGCTATCACGTTAGTTCAATATCAGCCAAGACATCAGCCCCTTGCTGTATCAATATCCCTGTTGGGAAGGACTGTGTAGATACAGAGAGCCTAGTCGGTTCCCACTGGAGACCTATAACACATACTTGCAAATTGTATTGTTATTTCACAGGGGACCCCGGGTAGCGTGCGAGGCCTATAGCCAAAGCGAACCTTGTGGAGGGATAGTCCAAATTGACCGCCAGGTTAGTCGTAGAGTATTGGAGACTGACTCAACGCTCAGGTGATCAATACAACCAAACACGATGACCACAGGCTACCGATTGGGCAGGATCACCATCAAATGACCACACGATGTGATAATCAAATAGCCCGGTCCCTACTTGTCTGAGCAGGCGAACAAGTCTCGGGTACTGTCCACGATTTGACCGTCTCTACCCTGCAGACCTCCCTCCAACTGACATTCAGCCACAGGTTAGTACTCCGTTATCTCTACACGTCGGAGGTATCCCGCACCGTTATTGGATTATCATCTGTATAGTGTCTTATCGGGTTAGTAGCATGTGATGAAGGGCTTAGCACGTCTACTTCAGTAGCTTCTCAATCCTACTTCGACTCGACATCGACTACGGTACTTTCAAGTGTCAGCCTCTCCAACAGTACTTACATGACCTGGACTGGGATGTACTTGGTGGTATCATCGCAGTGGTATAAACTACCTCCACTTACACCTAACCATGCGAACTTCTGTAAATACATTATCGAACGTCAATGCAGCCGGTACAGATAGTGGAGGAGTTGGCTTGATGTACGTCGTCCAAAATATAAAGATGTGTGAATGTTGTAAAATATATGATTGACGGAGTACACCAGAACTTTAACAGACACTGTATGCGAGTTGATAGAGGCGTTAATGGACATTTGAAGTGAGTACACCAAAGTCTTTGACGGGCATTGGACATGAGTACAAAGAGTCTTTGGTGGACCAGAGTCGTTAACAGCACCTGTGGATGTGAGGACGTTGGTGCGTTGACGGACATTTGACATGACCTCTATAGAGTCTTCGAGAAACATTGCGTGTAAATACTCCAGAGTGCTTGGCGGACATTACACGTGAATATTTCGGCGTATGTATTGGACATAGACTGTAGACCATGGACAAGGGTCACTGGCGGACATAGGATGTGAGTACACCAGGGTATTAGATGGAATGTGATGTGAGTGAATAGAGTATTTGACGGAATAGGAAGTGAGTGCAATAGAGTATTTGACGGAATAGGATGTACGTGCTCTAGAGCATTTGACGAAATAAGAAGTGAGTGCACTAAAGTATTTGATGGAATAGGATGTGAGCACACTAAAGTATTTGATGGAATAGGATGTGAGTGCACTGGAGTATTTGATGGAATAGGATGTGAGTGCACTGGAGTATTTGACGGAATAGGATGTGAGCACACTAGAGTATTTGATGGACAAAGGATGTATGTGCTCTAAGGGGACATTACACAACTGGTATTTGGAAAGGCGGTTAGAAGCACAACCACTGTGTTTGCGCGCATACGTTGATGCCCCCCACCATGTATCAACATGTACCTTCAAACATAACCTCGCCCTTGGCTCAGTTGTATCTCGTCCATTGGTCTACATGTGTTGAATCGATTGTCGTTCACAAAATAACGTTAAACATGTCCGTAACAGTCAACCCTTAACGCAAACAAGAACGCGACCAGTTGATGCTGCTGCCTTGTTGTGCGGGCAGTCCATGGTACCAAGTCGTATGAATATAATACTATTGTTAGAACTATTCACTTAGCAATAGACTCTGATACCTACTTGCATACAGATATATGAATGTAATATTGATTTCAGAGCCATCCATGTCTATATATACATCCTGACAGTCTCTTGGTGGGGCTATATACTATTTTGTAACAATTACACTGTGTAACTACAACCGTTTCACATAAGCATGCTATAAACATACAGACTAACGCTTCCCTTAAATCCCAAGCGAAATGGTATCAACAATCGTTTTGTCAGAATTGTGAAAAAATGTTTGCCACGTTCAATCACATAATGAAAAAGAGAAATTTAATTGTAATGATGAAGCAGTGGTTTCCTAATCCCCAGCAACCCCCAGCAACCCCACTTGTACACGTACTCCCTCCTGTGCTCTTAATGGGATTGCCTTTGTAAAACATGGGAGTCGCGGTGGAAACATCAAAGCCAATGCATGTAATGACAATTTGAATAATGTAACTCGATATTGGGAATGAATTTAATTATATGCTCAAATGTCAACACTTCAATTACGAAATATAATTGTGTATACGTTAAGAATATTATGAAACACCTAAATGTCAAAATTGGAAGCACTTTTAATTGTACCCAGCTGGAAATAAACCTCAGAATGGTAAACGCCATACCTCCGATTCATCTACTACCCGCCATTTCACGTTCTGCATTGTTATCTTACCTCTCACACACAAGATGTCTTCAAGAGAGTAGTAAGTGTGTTTCTTTTTTGTAATGTTGTGTTGTCTTGTTTTATGTACTAATTTCTGTTCTGTTTTGTTCTGTTCGGCTCTGTTATTTCCTTATTAATATGCATTAGCAGGACTTATCAATACTGATCAGTCAATGACCATATCATTGTCATAGCATGTCCGTATTCGGTGTCGAAAACGATTTACACCCATTGTAGCATTAGCCTGCGTCTCATGGTGTATTACATAGTTTTGTAGAAACTGACCATTTGCTTCAAGTCATGGTGGTCAGACGTGTTCAGGTGTGTACATGTGACGTGGTAAATGTCAATATTAATCGATGAGATGACCGCCACAGTTGGTGTTACAGCATTCCTGTAACAACAGGCGTCAATCAGATGACTATTGTGAACGCTTTTTAATACGTTATTGCGGTTCGCATCTCGCAGAATAGACGCAATTAACCCAACTGACAGTAAGTGTGATAGTGGTTGGGAAAACCACCAGTTTCACACGCAGGTGCGTCCGTCAGTGCTAAGGAGGCGGTGTGTTTATGTCCAATTGTAAATACCAACTCCCAGAGCAAGGTAGTGTTTCTTGTTACTGTCAATTTGTAAACAGCATCTGTCAAATCAACTTAGTGTCGGTGTGTTATAGTGTCAAATTGTCAACAGTGACTGCCAGTGCTACAGTGTAGGTGTGTTATAGTGTCAACTTGTCAACAGTGACTGCCAGTGCCATAGTGTCGGTATGTTAGTGTCAAATTGTTAACAGTGTCTGCCAGTTCCATAGTGTCGGTGTGTTAGTATCAAATTGTCAACAATGACTGCCAGTGCCATAGTGTAGGTGTGTTAGTGTCAAGTTGTCAACAACGACTGCCAGTGCCATAGTGTAGGTGTGTTAGTGTCAAGTTGTCAGCAGTGACTGCCAGTGCCATAGTGTCGGTGTGTTGGTGTGAAGTTGTCAACAGTGACTGTCAGTGCCATAGTGTCGGTGTGTTAATGTCAAGTTGTTAACAGTGACTGCCAGTGCCACAGTCTCGGTGTGTTAGTATCAATTTGCCAACAGCATCTACCATTGATACAGTGCCGTGTAAGTGTCAATTTCAAAAACAGCCTCTATCAGTGTCACAGTGTCGGTGTAATAGCCCCTTATGTTAACAGTGTGTGTCAGTGTCTTAATGTCAGCGTGTTAGTAACAAATTATCACAAGTGTCCTTTCAGTGCAATAAGGCCGTTGTAAGTCTGACTGTCAATATACAAGATCAGTTCTAACCAGGGTCTTCAATGATCGCCACGATGTCATAGTGTCACAGCTGGTGACAATATCATTGAATCATAGTACATAGTGTCGGAGTTTCAATATGTAGGCTCGGCAGGACACGGACTTCTCACGCCCTAGAGTGTCCTTTCAGTGGAGGGTCCATCATTTTCACAGCTATTTAACTCTTTACATCAACTGGAATTTCTTTCTGGGGACAGTCTTGGCCTGGTCTGCACTGGCGATGTATGTCAGTGGTAGGAGGTCAGTCGCTGGTGTCGTGGTCGTGAGTGTCACACTACTGACCAGGGGTATGTCACGTACGTGAGTGAGGGTTTTGTAAAACAGGTCTGCAAATTGATAATAGGAATATTAGATATGTAGGTACTGCCCCCCACATGTGTGAATCGTACATATATCTGGAATAATTTACATTTGTAATTACGTATCCTGGCCTGTTCTCTCGCACCACCCATACGCTGCATATCTCTATTGTGATTGTATGACATATACGCATTATCTGTACACCTGTTTTGAACTGTGTTCATTGGCTATGTAGCCTCTTGTGTTGTAAAAAGAACACATATTCAAGACAACGAAGACAATATATGACGTTTGCCGCTGAATCTTTTTCCTATCGCGATGTATGAATCATAATTCAAGGTTGTATTGATTGTCTCAGTAAGTGTGGAACCATCTATCAGAAACATACGAAGCTGTTTACAATATTTTGTCAGGCACAGTGGGATCTGGACGACCCACAGCAGTGGGCGACTGATCCACTACCAGCCGTGAAACACTGCCCTTCCTCCGTTTGTTCGCCTCAATGCAGGAATGAGCCTCCCCCGTGTTGAAGAGATGGTTCTCAGTTGCAGATCGATAAGACTAATTTCGTATCGTGAATGGATTTCTTAGGTTAAGAGTGTCATAATTTTCAATTTACGACATAACTAGATTAGTATTGTGGACTTTTTAAAATCGCATTATCTCGGCTCGAGATTCATAGCGGCCATCGGGAACGGCCGACCGTCGGACTGGCTTGGCAAGAAGACCGGAACATAGAGCGCAATGCAAGTACACCAGCAACACGACTGTACATGTACACATAGATATACCAGCAACACAGCAACACGATTGTGCATGTACACAGAGATATACCAGCAACACAGCAACACGATTGTGCATGTACAACATAAACATTACCAGCAACACAGCAACACGATTGTACATGTACACATAGATATACCAGCAACACAGCAACACGATTGTACATGTACACATAGATATACCAGCAACACAGCAACACGATTGTACATGTACACATAGATATACCAGCAACACAGCAACACGATTGTACATGTACGCAGAGATATACCAGTAACACAGCAACACGATTGTACATGTACAACATTGTACATGTACACAGAGATATACCAGTAACACAGCAACACGATTGTACATGTACACATAGATATACCAGTAACACAGCAACACGATTGTACATGTACACAGAGATATACCAGCACCACAGCAACACGATTGTACATGTACACAGAGATATACCAGCACCACAGCAACACGATTGTACATGTACACATAACACGATTGTACATGCACCATATACCAGCAACACAGCAATCGATTGTACATGTACAGAGATATACCAGCAACACCAGCAACACGATTGTACATGATTATACATGTACGATTGTGCATGTACATGAGATAGTAACACAGCAAACAACACAGCAAGCACGATTGTACATGTACACAGAGATATACCAGCAACACAGCAACACGATTGTACATGTACACATAGATATACCAGCACCACAGCAACACGATCGATTGTACATGTACACAGAGATATACCAGCAACACAGCAACACGATTGTACATGTACACAGAGATATACCAGTAACACAGCAACACGATTGTACATGTACACATATACCAGCAACACAGCAACACGATTGTACAGCAACACAGCAACACGATTGTACATATACCAGTAGATATACCAGTAACACAGCAACACGATTGTACATGTACACAGAGATATACCAGCACCACACGCAACACCAGTAACACAGCGATTGTACATGTACACAGAGATATACCAGTAACACAGCAACACGATTGTACATGTACACAGAGATATACCAGTAACACAGCAACACGATTGTACATGTACACATACCAGATATACACATAGATATACCAGCAACACAGCAACACGATTGTACATGTACACATAGATATACCAGCAACACAGCAACACGATTGTACATGATACCAGCATAGACACATATACCAGCAACACAGCAACAACATGTACACAGCCAGCACCACAGCACACGATTGTACATGTACACAGAGATATACCAGCAACACAGCAACACGATTGTACATGTACACATAGATATACCAGCAACACAGCAACACGATTGTACATGTACACAGAGATATACCAGTAACACAGCAATGTACACGATTGTACATGTACACAGAGATATACCAGCAACACACAGCAACACGATTGTACATGTACACATAGATATACCAGCAACACAGCAACACGATTGTACATGTACACATAGATATACCAGCAACACAGCAACACGATTGTACATGTACACAGAGATATACCAGTAACACAGCAACATCGATTGTACATGTACACAGAGATATACCAGCACCACAGCAACACGATCGATTGTACATGTACACAGAGATATACCAGCAACACAGCAACACGATTGTACATGTACACATAGATATACCAGCAACACAGCAACACGATTGTACATGTACACAGAGATATACCAGCAACACAGCAATACACGATTGTACAACACGTACACATGTATATACCAGTAACACAGCAACACGATTGTACATGTACACAGAGATATACCAGTAACACAGCAATACAATTGTACATGTACACATAGATATACCAGTAACACAGCAACACAATTGTACATGTACACATAGATATACCAGCAACACAGCAACACGATTGTACATGTACACATAGATATACCAGCAACACAGCAACACGATTGTACATGTACACAGAGATATACCAGTAACACAGCAACACGATTGTACATGTACACATAGATATACCAGCAACACAGCAACACGATTGTACATGTACACATAGATATACCAGTAACACAGCAACACGATTGTACATGTACACATAGATATACCAGCAACACAGCAACACGATTGTACATGTACACATAGATATACCAGCAACACAGCAACACGATTGTACATGTACGCAGAGATATACCAGCAACACAGCAACACGATTGTACATGTACACATAGATATACCAGCAACACAGCAACACGATTGTACATGTACACATAGATATACCAGCAACACAGCAACACGATTGTACATGTACACATAGATATACCAGCAACACAGCAACACGATTGTGCATGTACAACATAAACAGTACCAGCAACACAGCAACACGATTGTACATGTACACAGAGATATACCAGCAACACACCTGTACGTAGGCACATAGTTATATAAACATTATAGATCTAAATCTACATTTACTTCTTTAGCTACCTATCTCTCTACCTCTCTTTATATATCTGTGTTGGGGGTGGGAGGTGAGGATGAGTGTGTTGGGGGGTAACTCCTGCAATGTCATTAACACGCCAATATTTGCATATATATCAGCAACATTCACAGACATACCAGCAACACTCCTATGCATGGAAGAACCAGCAACACGCCCATATATCGATATATCACACAACATCAGCAACACATTAACAATAGCAACAGCAACAGCAAAAACATCATCGGCGTCATCAACGGCCCCAGCCTGGAATTTGTACACTCACTACTTCAACTCTACAGATACCATACTCTACCTTTGACCCCAAGAGCCATCTGATTTGGCGTATATTCCTTCATTAGGACACTTTGCGAGTGATAAGTCTTTCCCTGGTGTGTTAATGCCATTCAATAGACCATTAATGGATCTTAGGTGATCATTTGTCTTCATTGATTACAGTGCAGAATCGTCGATAAATTCATTTATTGCTATTGAATGAAGTCGATGAATGGTAATGGTGATAAACCCTACACTGCACCGGAGACATTAACAGAGACACCCATGCACACCATAATAAATATTGGATACCCTCACATACGAATCCCCATACATACAACCATTTGACACCATATACACCACCGTGCTTTGACCACCTTTACAGACACCATACACACCACCGTGCTTTGACCACCTTTACAGACACCGTACACACAACCGTACACGTAACCACCATGAACGATTGTGTTCTGTGTATGGAATGTGTGTGGAATTTATGAGTGCGTGTCTTCTGTGCCCTCAGTTTTTATTATGTGAATGTGAATGCATGCTGGATGTGCTGTGCATTGTTTTCTGTGATTGTTATGTGATATGACTGTGTCTGCTGTGGTATACGTGGTGTTGTATAGATGTGTGTGTCCTGTGGTATACGTTGCGTTGTATGGATGTGTGTGTCCTGTGGTATACGTGGTGTTGTATAGTTGTGTGTGTCCTGTGGTATACGTGGTGTTGTATGGATGTGTGTGTCCTGTGGTATACGTGGTGTTGTATAGATGTGTGTGTCCTGTGGTATACGTGGTGTTGTATGGGTGTGTGTGTCCTGTGGTATACGTGGTGTTGTATAGATGTGTGTGTCCTGTGGTATACGTGGTGTTGTATGGATGTGTGTGTCCTGTGGTATACGTGGTGCTGTATGGATGTGTGTGTCCTGTGGTATACGTGGTGTTGTATAGATGTGTGTGTCCTGTGGTATACGATGTGTTGTATGGATGTGTGTGTCCTGTGGTATACGTGGTGTTGTATAGATGTGTGTGTCCTGTGGTATACGTTGTGTTGTATAGATGTGTGTGTCCTGTGGTATACGTGGTGTTGTATAGATGTGTGTGTCCTGTGGTATACGTGGTGTTGTATGGATGTGTGTGTCCTGTGGTATACGTGGTGTTGTATGGATGTGTGTGTCCTGTGGTATACGTGGTGTTGTATAGATGTGTGTGTCCTGTGGTATACGTGGTGTTGTATGGATGTGTGTGTCCTGTGGTATACGTGGTGTTGTATAGATGTGTGTGTCCTGTGGTATACGTGATGTTGTATAGATGTGTGTGTCCCGTGTTCAGAGTGGTATGTATATTCTGAGTGAGATTTGTGTTATTTGTTTTGTGTTGTATAAACTCAGTTTGTTGGCTCCTTGGTTGCGTTGTGTTTATTGTATTGGTGTTTTATATAAATGTTGTGGCGACTATGATGACACCTATTGTAAGACGGTTTCATCAGCGTATAGTATTGTGAATGACATGATTGGTCTTTGACCATATGATAGTCTACGTCTCACGATGTGGACGTTTTGTATGATATAGATCAACAACTTATTACTATGTGTGACTGATGTGTGGGAGTGTTCTCACACATCACTCAGCCAACATCTCATCCAGCCGGGAGCGGCGCAGTCTGTACCCGCCCCTCTCTCCCTGCTCCACACACTACCTCCCTGATGCTAACACTCGCTCATCACAGCACGTCCAAGCTGTAGGATTTTCAAATGTCATAGTGTAATTGAGGAGTATTTCAAAATTCCACCTAACGTAAAACGGAACATCAAAGCAATGTCCATGAAGCTCCGTCTATGTAAAAAGTGGTAGGACCATTCATTATTCAGGCCATTTCTCCAAGGCAATATCTCGCCACACCAAATCCAGCTTATTGGTGGAAGCCAATTTCTTGTAAGCTAGGAGGGCAGTACTGGAGCGGTAGAACTGCAATCACTTTCCCTATTCCTTATTTCAGCAGAGGCATCACGGAGGCTGTCTGCAGACCGGTCGGCCAATGAAATCCTGCTGGGGCTGAGAGAGTAGAGAAGTGCCAGCCCCCTGTCCCGACCCCCTCCCTCCCCTGTGCCGGCGCCCCCCAGGCCAACCCCGCCAGCCAGCGCCTCAACAGTCGCCCCCAGACCAAGGAGACTAGAGATAGCGCCCATTGCAGCCGTCAATACACTCCAACATAGGACTGAATAGAGCGAAATCTACAATCAAAGATGAATATTTGATAGCGTTCTATCTTGTGTAAGACTGATCAGAGCTGAATGAAGAGCTCCCACCATGCAGGGACCACAGGAGCAGCAGCAACTACCCCACGTCTGCGGCAGGATGCGCTACTTCTTCATCCTCCTTATTGTGTATTCCATCGCATCCCATGCAGGTAAGTCAGTATGTCTGACACGTGGTACTCGACTCACGTATACATCCGGGCACTTACAACATGCAAACTATGTAAACATTGAACGCCTACCTCGTCCACTGTCTGACCACAGATGAACACATCTTGTTCCTCATCCCGACCCTCATCCCTGCATCCCTCCCGTTTAAACTTACCTACCCAAGCCAGCCTACCCCTATTTCCCCATAACCTATTTACTAATTAACTCACCTTTACCCACAAGTAAAACTTTGAAGCGCCATCGCGAACGACAGTGTGCATGTACACATGTTCTTGAACTGTTATCAGTTTTCAACTAAGATATATATTATTATATTTCCCCATCATCATATATTTGACTAAACGATATGAACCATATATTTCTGACTTATGTTTGTTTATCAAGAAGATTAAGCTTATATATAGACCCTCTATAAGTTATGAACAATGACATCATTCTCCAGCCATCTTCCGTTGGCTAACTCACATATCTACATATTGTGTTACGTATTATCGAAGGCAACCATTCTCTATCCATGTTAGCCTTTGCTGGAGTAAATGGAAATATTACTGTTTGTTTGAAGGTGGATGAGGAACTTCATTTTGGTCTAATGTAACCGTGTTGGTTAAATGTCAGCACGCTGACTGGCAGACAAACGCATTGTTGCTGTCATTCTGGACTGACAAGCAGAACACTCTCGTGACCCTGTAGGCTAGTAGAGGGCCCAGCGAACAGTCTTAATTTGGCCTGCCATTACCTGATGGCACACATTACGAGGAGAATGCCTGTCTGTCAAACAGAGCACTACTGGAAGCTACCAATCTCCCGTTTGCATCAAACCAATCTCAATTCTTTGTTATTTGTGAAAGTGCAATCATTATATTATGTCAGTGTTGACAGAGGATTAACTGTGTCGTTGGTACCCTTCCCACCACCCCCCCCCCACCCCTCACCGTTAGATATCTGACAGCTTTCAACTGGGTGTTAAATGTGACGAAACTCTACAGTGTTGACCCAACGGAAGTACCGTCAATCCACACCCTGTACCCCCTACCAACAGTTTATGTCGATACCCTTAAGCCACACCCCGTATCCCGACCCTACACTGTACTCCTCACATCCATGCCATTCACTACACCCCACTCAGTCCGCACCATCACTACATAACCTACCCCGACAATGTCACGGCGCACTCTGCACCACCTCCACTGATACAATTGGTAAATGGCCACTTGTACAGTTGGTAAGTACCCACTAATACAGTTGGTATATATTCACAGATGCTATTGGTTGGTAAATGCCCACTGTTACGGTTGGTAAATACCCAGTGATACAGTTGGTATATATTCACAGATGCTATTGGTTGGTAAATACCCACTGTTACAGTTGGTAAATACCCAGTGATACAGTTGGTACATATTCACAGATACAATTGGTAAATACCCAGTGATACAGTTGGTAAATACCCAGTGATACAGTTAGTAAATATTCACAGATGCAATTGGTAAATACCCAGTGATACAGTTGGTACATATTCACAGATACAATTGGTAAATACCCAGTGATACAGTTGGTACATGTTCACAGATATAATTGGTAAATACCCAGTGATACAGTTGGTAAATACCCAGTGATACAGTTAGTAAATATTCACAGATACAATTGGTAAATACCCAGTGATACAGCTGGTATATATCTAATGAAACAGCGGGTACATTTCTATTGATACAGTTGCCACAAACATGCCGATACAGCAGGTGCTTATCTTCTAATAGAACTGGTACATATCTATTGATTTAGTTGCCACAAACATTCTGATATAGCTGGTATATATCTACTTATACAACAAGTGAATATTTCCTGATACGGGTGGTATATATCTACTGATACAGGAGGTGCATATCTTCTGATATGGATGATACATATCTACTGATACCTTGGTACAAACATTCCGATACAGGTGGTACTCAGCCAGGTAATACAGCAGGTAAGACTGTATTGATAAATCTGATCGTCATCCCTTGACAGTACATGCCAAATGTGTGACCCGGTGTATGACTGCCACCTAAATAGGTTACTTACGCGTGTTAGAAGTATGCACCTTTTCACGCAAGCCCCTACCCCTTTCTCGAACATTTGGTTTTATCAACGATTGCCTGTGGACCATTCATATAATATTCAACGCTAATTTGATTTTAGAATCTGTTAGATAATCGGGACATGTTGTTCTCTGGCATTGACTTTTTCTGTTTACAAATGTGTTGAGGTAATGATGATGACCCCGGTCCTTAAACTACCCCTAGCGAGGCGGTGAGGTAGATATTCTCTACAGTTGAACCAGGGGAGTGATAATAACCATCGATTGTGCTAGACCCGGTCCTAACTTAATTCTATACTGAATAAATCTCCTGAATATTAGGTAAATGGCTTCATTAGGATGTGTGGTGGTGAGTTAAAACAGCCATAACTATCCGCCATTCTGTGACACCGGTCGCTCGTACAAGGCTCTGAGGTACCATCGTGTCAAACGCGTCCCGGATACAGGTGTTTAAGTCCCGTTATTAGTCTTTGGTGGTGCTGATCTCTGTGTAATGATGTCCTATTGCGTATAGCTATTGCGCTGTAATTTTACAAGATAGGTTTCATCAGCAACTTAAAGCACGCTTAAAGAGCCTGTCTGGCCGCACGTTTATCTATACACACGTGTTATGGGATGAAAGTGGTTTTATTCCAGTGTTGATGTTTCCGAACTAGTAAAAAGGATTCAAGTTAGCGCTCAGCTGTGCTCGGCATAACTTAATCAACGTTGTCAGACGGAACCAGAAGTGCCATTCCCGGTGTATGTTGACTGGAAATAGTGTTTCAGTATATAAACACAGACAGGTGGGCTGAGACGTATCTGCAGCTGTGTTGCCATGGCGATATGGTGCTGTTTCATAGATACCAAATCGCTGTCGTGGGCTTGTATGAATCTTAAGTTGACTCTTGGTAATTTTGGTGAAAGCTTTTGTTATTGATTTTGTTACAAAACGTTACAAGGTGTGTATGCTGTCACGCCCCAGCCCCCGGCCCCTAACGCCCAATCACCCCACCCCCACCCTAAAACCCCACCCTGCCCGCTACCCCTAATCACGATGCTGGAAAGACTGTAAATGCTGTTTTAGACACTTCATATTCAATCTAACGGTCTCGCATAATTTCCATCGCCAGGAAGTGCACAGTTATTTTTCAAATCTAATCCATTTATGAGTCGAATAATAAGTGATATCAAAAGAGGTTTACCATTTCTTCTGTGACAACATTGCGGCATTAACCATTAGTCTGATTAAGCTGGTTCGTTGCAATGCGATCAGCGGCCAACTTCAGCTCGTGCTGATAAATTCCAAGTTGAGCTACCCACCCCAATTTCTCATTTTTTCTTATGTGTTCACTTTTTTCTTTTTCTTTTTTTTCTATTAAACCCTAGATCTCATTCATTCTCTTCCTCACTCAATCACTCTCTCTCACTTAAAACTGTCACTCTTGTTCTTTCTTTCCTTTTACCACCGCCGCCTGAAAGAATGATAAGAATGATTGATGGCGGGGGTTGATATTCAGATAACACTCTGACAGTAGCAACCGTGTCACGCGGAGCTACTAGATTCACCGACCCAGCTTTGATGTGATTCTGCTTCAGAAACTTTTCACCTCGGGATTTCTGCGCGGAGTCACTAGTGCCTTTGAAGATCCATGTTGTCAGAGACACCAGATAAAAGCATTATGTAAATCCGGCAATGCGAATAAATGTTTTTGTGACTCAGAAATGACACCATGGTCGATCACGTAATATATACTGTTACACATGTTGTCACAAGTTACAAACACTGTCACATACCACAGTGTCACACAATTATACTTTCACACACCACACTGTCACGGAAATGTACAGTCATATATATACGATGGGGCTGACTCACGCCCAACATACAATCACTCTTCACGCTGTCATACAAACATACAGTCAAACACCACGGTGTTACTTAAATATAGTCATACAGTACACTTTGCACACACGTAGTCACACATTGCGCTGTTACACACACATAGTCACACGTCACACTGTTACACATACAGTCACACATCTGGTTGTTACACAGACATAGTCACACATCACACTGTTACACACACAGTCACACATCTGGCTGTTACACAGACAGTCACACATCACACTGTTACACAGACAGTCACACATCTGGCTGTTACACATACAGTCACACTGTTACACAGACAGTCACACATCACACTGTTACACACAGCCTCGGACACTGTTGCACATACAGTCACACATCTGGCTGTTACACAGACATAGTCACACATCAACCGGTTACACACACAGCCTCGGACACTGTTACACATACAGTCACACATCTGGCTGTTACACAGACATAGTCACACATCACACTGTTGCACACACAGTCACACGTCATAGTTTTACACACATGGTGTCACACCACACTGTTATACATACATACACTCACTCATTACACTTTTGCACAAACACAAAGTCAAACACAACTCAGTGTTACACACAGATATTCACTCATCACACTGTTATACAATCATACACTCACACGTCATGCTTAAAACAAGGGACTAGTGATTGTGGATTCCAGGTCCAGGAGAACCGCATTACCCTTTATAGAAATAGACTAGACAAGGTGGGTAAACCAGGGGAAAAGTATAAATAGATTGTAGAATCTAATAACATTTACAGAATAACAAGAAGTGGGTTGTGTTTAAACATATTTATAGATAGTCTTTGGGAGAAGTCATCCTCTTTTTCAGTTTAGCAATCAGCTCGACATAGTTCTCATTTGCTAATTCCAGTTTGAGCATTTTGGTTTATCAAATCAATCTCTTTCCAGAAACCGTTTAGTTAATTAAATCTTTTTTCACCTCTACTTCTCACCTCTAGACTTTTAATATCTTTCAATCTCCACGTCCAAGATGAACATGTCCTGTT